GGGGCTCCCGGCATCGCTACTGGGAGCAAGGACGCTGCTAGGGGCTCCTGGCCTTACTAGGAGCAAGGACGCTACTAGGGGCTCCTGGCATCGCTACTAGGAGCAAGGACGCTACTAGGGGGCTCCTGGCATCGCTACTAGGAGCAAGGACGCTACTAGGGGCTCCTGGCATTGCTGCTGGGGGCTCCCGGCATCGCTACTGGGAGCAAGGACGCTGCTAGGGGCTCCTGGCCTTACTAGGAGCAAGGACGCTACTAGGGGCTCCTGGCATCGCTACTAGGAGCAAGGATGCTACTAGGGGGCTCCTGGCATCGCTACTAGGGGCAAGGACGCTACTAGGGGCTCCCGGCATCGCTACTGGGAGGAAGGACGCTGCTAGGGGCTCCTGGCCTTACTACTAGGAGCAAGGACGCTACTAGGGGCTCCTGGCATCGCTACTAGGAGCAAGGACGCTGCTAGGGGCTCCTGGCCTTACTACTAGGAGGAATCTTGAGCAATTTTTGCCTCCCAGTTGCTGCAAGCGACTGAGGGGGGCTGATCAGCGATTTGGTCACCACTGCCACTGCTGCGTTGTCTCCCCACTATATCTCCCCACTTGTCTGTGTGATCTGCAGTTTTGTCCGCCGCTGCTGCCTTGTCTCCTTACTTGTCTTCTTGTGTGATCTGCATGTCGAGGGTGGGTAGGGCAGTCCAACACTCAACAAAGAGTTCGGCTTACTTTGTACTTGTGTTTCACTGCTGGTCACACTCACGGAGGGGCGTTGTGGAAGCTCTCATGACTTTTGTGAGTTATTTGAATTATTTGAGTAATGGTCTCAGGTGCTTCTGTTTTTGGAGTTAGTTGCTATCTGGGCCTATGCCGGAGCGATTTGTTTTACGGGGGAGGGTAGAGTAGGTAGGAGCTGATACCTAGTCGCTTCTTAAGTCGCTTCTTAGCAGGCTAAACCTCATGCTTCTTCAAGGAAGCTCCCCACACCTGACACCGAGGGGAGCTTCCTGGAAGAAGCCGCCGGAATGAAACTTCTTGGTCTTCTGAAGCCCTAATTAGGCCCCAATTCCCATGTCTTGAACCGAACGCAAAGCTTACAGCGTTCTTGACTCTTGCACGACTTCTTCCACACCTGCTTCGAGCGAAGCTCCAAGTCCTCCTGCGTTGAGGAATAATTTTGAGGAGAGAAAACCACGGCAATCTCCTGGCAGAATTGAAGTCTTCATAGGACCCAACTAGGGGCTCCTGGCCTTAGTACTAGGAGCAAGGACGCTACGAACGGGGGGCTCTGCGTCGGTCTCCTGAAAGATGGCCTTAATGATCTGCACGTAGCTCTGCAAATCAAGAGATGAGAGCTGTCGATTTGTCACCAAGTCTTCATAAAACGCTTGGCTGGGGAAGCGGAAGCCGTCCTGAAGAAAGCGACCGGGGTCAGCAAACGGGCAGCTGCGATGCTCATAGGTCATTGATCACCACCAATGACTTCACGGGCTGCTTGATGCAAGAACAAAATGCAGCAGTGTTCTGAAGACCCAAAGGCACCCTGTTGTTGCCCTTCGAGTTTGGGAGAGTTAATAAATTACCAAATTACTTCAGGTTGGTCGGATTCTGTCGAGGTTGTCACTTCAGACACTCAACCGGTGCAGGTCCATGTTGGATTCGAGGATCTACAGTTCGGTTCGTCCAGTTCGTCCTGTTGCCAACGTGTCCAAAATGAAACTGGCCTAGCAAAGATAGGTTTTGCTTCAGTTTCGACTTTGTTTGGCGACAGCAGGGACTTGGCACGATAAAGGTAGCTTAGCAATTGCAGGACAAAGAATAACATTGACAAAAAGTCAAGGCGGCATCGGCATCGAATGGACATGAATGAAACAAATGCAATGGCCAAATGTGCAAACAATCAGGGCAGCATAGATGCGTAAAACCAAGAAACAAAACAGAGTGCACGGCCCATTGTCTGGGGTTCGGCACGTTTTCTGCCAGTGACTGTAGCATCCATGGTCCATGACAACATTGTAGCATCATTGCCACATCCACAAAACCTGCAACTGCCATCCATCATCCATGGTCCGGTCACCACGTTACCATGAGAAGGGCGATTCATAAGGGCGAGTTTGGCGCAATCATGGGGGTCAGCCTTTAGACGGGACACGACACTCCGACTGACTTCGGAGAGCACAATGGCAGCCAAAAGAAACTCTGGCTATGGCCTCCATCCTAGTAGCCATGGCCTCCAACACAAGGTATCAAGGTCTCATCTTGTTTCTTGTTTCCAGTCGCGTCTGGGGCGTCCTCTGCGATGATGGGCAGGATGCAACATGTCTTCAAGTCCTTCACGGCCAGCAAATTGGAAGCGACGTCTGCAGACCTGGTCGAATTGGAAGCGACGAGCTGCCGAGCTTCGATCGCCGGTTCGTTGGATCGAAGCCTGAAACATCCCTCGCTGCAGATCATCAAAGCAGATGTCGCGCTTTTGGGCATCTTCTGATCCTGCGGAGAAAGCCAAAACACATCAAAAGGACGCTACGAACGGGGCTCCTGGCCTTACTACTAGTAACAAGAAGCTGGCCGTACTACTAGGAGCAAGGAAGCTACTAAGGGCGCTACTAGGGACTCCTGGCCTGGCCTTACTTATAGGAACAAGGACACGCGAACCGAACGGAGCAAGGACGGGCATCGCGACTCGAACGGAGCATTTCGGGCATCGCTACGAGGCGGGCTCGCATCTCAGATCACCCCAGCACACGAAGACAAGAACAGTCGAAAACGTGAGTCAAAATTCTGAGGACGTCACCCGACATGAGTGACATCTGGAAGGAGGGAGGCAACGAGGAAGAGAAGGAGGAGGAGGGGGAAACCAAGAAAAAACAACACAAGCCAGCAAGAAAATAAGAATTATAATAAAAAGAAGAAAAAGAAGAATAAGAAAAATAAGAAGAAAAAGAAGAAGAAGAAGAAGAAAAGAGTTGCACCTTTCATAAAATCTAGAGACCCTCACCTGGCATCTGGGGAACAATCGGTTTCAATCGACCAAATTGCACAAAGCCGGCCGAAAACCCCATCCTTTTTCAGCACTGTGGGCATGCTGTTGTGCGAACCGCCCACCAGCTTCGGAAGCAGCAAACCCAACATGATGTAGGCCTAAGTCTTGGAACAACAAAACTGCTCGTCCCTACCGTTGTGGGAATTATCCTTCTGCGAAGCCACTGTTGCAGCCGCCTCCAGATTGTCAAGGTCCGCGAGAATGATGCAATCAGGACACGAGCTGGCAGTCCTTGAAACTCAGCTGGTTTGAAGACAAAATTTCAGCATTCCAAAGCGACAGTAGACTCAGTACACCTGGATTGATAAAGCTTACAGTTTCCGTACCCCGACTTCGCCAAGCTTCGTGGACTTTGCCTTAAAGGTGCCTTGGCCGATTGGACAGTCCAAAGTGGCGACAAAATCATAGAGATGAATATGTAACCGTATGAGCGGTGACACACGACTCACACGACCAGGCCTGACAAATCCGTCACAAGGGAATCAACAGCGTCAGCGGTCAGCAATGCTGGCAAAGCAATCGTCTGCAGTGTGCTGATCCATCTGAGCGTTTCTTCCACCTCCTTATTTCGCTTAAGGCTGGAGACCATCGCTCTTAGGTTGGAGGCCATCGCTAGAGGCCATCGCTTCACAAGAAAAACAAAAAAAGATGAAACAACATGACACATCGAGCTAATACGACTCTCCAATTGAAGGCTGGTCCTTGCACCTCAGGGTCTGCCCCAAGGTGGAACACTTCCGGTTTCAGTTCATGCTCAATTAAGGGTGAGGGAGTTCCGTTCCAGTTCCAATCAAACCTTGATATAGCAAGCAATTGCTTTTGGGGGGTGCTTGCCAATCCAGTTCCAGCAGGGTGCGGTGTGCTGAAAAGACTACTGTCAAACCAGGCAGCCACCAATCCCAGATTGTAGTTGGCCAGCTCAGTGATGTCCGGCACAATGGATGAATAGCTTTCGATAAAGGTCTTGTCGGGGTTGGCCTTACATCACACCATGGGATTGGTTCAACATGGTTAAACTCACAACTCACTTGTCTTGCGAGCTGGAGCAAGACTCAAAATCATTCGGTCTCTAGTTCTCCAAGGCACGTATTCCGGGAAGGCCACCACAACAGTTTCCACCCTGGAGTCTTGGACAGGCTTCAATGCTCCCATCCACAAGCTCTCCGTTGTCTTTGTTGGTATTTCTCGTAATTAAACCGATCACAGTGCGCTGGTTTGGGTTTTAGCTATTCGACTGGCACTTTGGCTTTCGCTATTCGATGCTTCTCCGTGCCTTTGGATCCTGGCGGTGCAGATCTCTCCGACGCACCACTTGCGGGTTAAGATGTCTGGGCTAGCGAGCACCACCAGCGTCTCGGTGTCTTGGCCAACGTAGCTGAAGAGCCGCGTCAAATCGTTCAAGTCGTCGCAATCCACGAACCTCAAGAGTTCCGACAAAGACGGCGATACAAGCATGGCACTTTTTTGGGTGCTAGGCCGTGAAGATTAGGAAAGGGTATAGTAGGTATAGGTGTCTAGGTAGGTGTCTGGGTAGGTGTCCGGGTATGTAAGGGAACACATACCCGGAACACAAAACATGTTCACAGAAGATCTCAGCGTTTTTGGGCACGTGAACCAGCCTGGGCTCACATTTCTCAGTTCTGACGAAGTCACGTGGTGAAGCGTGAGCCACGCTTCTGCAACTCCATCTTCAGGAGCCGCGCCAAACTCCCCGCAGCAACCTCAAGGAATGGATGGAAGAGCGTGAAGAGAGCAAATTAAGAGTTTCAGAATCTCAACCAGATTCCATTTTCAAACAAAGGACCCCACAGGAACTGCACTCATCCATGTCCGGTATTTTTGCTGGTTTTCTTGGCCACCCGAGACATGCTGTTCATCTCCGAGAGACCTTTTGATGGCAGAGGAAGAAGCGAAACTGTTTCCTTCGAGTGGAGACCCAAATTGATCCCTCAAACTGGGAGAACTCAGGGAGAACTCAGGGAGAACTCGAACCGAACTTCTGGCAGTCGAGTCCTGTATTTTAGAAGGAAGTGCTTGGCAATGCCGTAGAGGATAGCTCCGAAAATTGCCACTAACATAATGCTAAAGAAAGCCATGCCTTGGATGATGAGTTGAGCCAGTGACCGCCAGACAGGTTTCAAGTCGACATGCAAGGTCAGATCGGGTTTCTCTTATATAGACGATTTCTATGCCAAAAGAAACAAATTTAGTTGATGCCACCGACCTCTGAATGCAACATCAAAGAAAACCAAGGCCAAGATGCAAATTACTGTGGTGACAACGGTATTCTCTTGTTGCACAAAGAGAGATCCCATGTCCAGAATGACCTGAAATCATTAACCGTCCAGAACAAATTGTTCGAAAAGCGAGGCGAAAGTGATGAATTTCTCTCTTTCTCTCTCTCTCTGTCTCTCTCTCTCTCTCTCTCGCTCGTGTTGGAAGCGGATCAAATTTTCACTGCTATCTACATGGTGCCCGACCCCCATTGCGCCGTGGCGCAGAATGAACATTGTCTTCGGCCAAATATTAATGGCGCTGTAGCGCCGTGCTCATTTTCAAAGATCTGATTGATGTGAAATTCTAAGTTTTTGAAATTAGCAAAACCTTTCTATTTTTTGGGATGGTTAGTGC